ATACATACGGAATGGGATGCAGGAATAAAGGTTTCGAGATTCTGTTATGAGTGTGTGAGTCACACAGAAACTGTGACCTTTCCTCTGATTTCAATCCATGGTTTTAAAAATGAGTAATAACATTAGCTGTCTTTGAATGTACAGCGATTATACTAGGATGTAAGATTTTAAGTTCACTACACAATTTTTCCGTAGAGCAGTACGTACGTGTAGATGATAGTTCAAGGACAAGTCCAATATTACTTACCCGCAAATTCTTAATCTGCAGTGTGCCTTGCTCTTGAATTGTTGCTCTTGGATCTCTACTCAGAAAAGTAAATCCCTCCTTTAACCAGCTAATTACAGGAAGAGGATCGCCAGTGGCTTTACATTTCAGTAACGCTGTGCCATCCACTGCCAGTGTTTGGTTGGCTGGGCCTTGTAGAATGATAGGTGGAGGTCTATCTGTCAAAACTAAAGAATAAGGCTCTTTTCAGGGTATTTTAACACCAGTACAGTCCAGTAGGCTTGATATATTGACAATGAAAGTAAGGTTTAAGCCCCAACACAATATATATTACTTACAACTTATTCGAAGTAATATGCATATTCTTAGTAATGTATATTCTAAATCTATCATATATCTATCATCTATACATACATACAAATATGCTATACTAAGGCCAGACTATTTATTGTCAATAGCTTCCTCTGTATTACCTAGAGTTAAAATGGCATTGAGATAAATTCTGACATTTTATAAAGACTTAATTGTATAAAAAGGCTTAGTCATATTAAAATTAAAATTAAAATATGAATAGCTTATGGCAGTCAGTCACCTATGAAATGTTCATTTTATCTCATATGCATATGTAAGAAAGTGTGTGAAGTCTCATATGCGTGCAGTCAATTTTCACTTTTGCATTTTTCATAAATATAGTACATAATTTTACCCTCATGACACCAGTTGTGTGCTGTATTCATATAGGCTGAAATATTTCTGTTGATGTTAAAATATTAGATTATAAATAATTTACTTCCAAAATTGTGACATTAGGTCACCAAATTACGGTCATATCATTTGGATGATTTGATTTAATTAGTACTTATAACTGATCAAAGAAAAGTAGTCTAGATTATATTTATCATATGACAAAAACAGTGCTTGCGCAAAATCAGTGTTTACTTATATATCAATTGTCGTGTTCATTTGGGTAAATTTTCCATAATTTCTAAATGTTTAGTTTAGTATTGCTTTTTGTTTATGAAATACTGTTTTGTAGCAGCATTTCAGTGCTTTTAGAAGTACTTAATGATTATTTAAGAAGGACATCAAAATGTACAGTATTATTTACATGGTTAAGAAAAATACACAGTTGATTGAAGTTAAGATTTCATTTAGAATTCATTAGAAGATCACCATATAATCAAAAGGATATGTCCAGGTCCAAGGAAGTCTTTCTAAAGAGAAAATTCTATAAACTTCAGCATAGACAGCACAGGCTTTGGTTAATTATCCAAATTGTGTATGGTTATATGTAACATATAAAATACACGCAGTATATAAAAACATACATACAAAAAAGACTTCCACAAAAAAGAAAAAGTATTTCTAAGCATCTGTGAAGATAAACAGTGTTTTTTCTCAAAAAAGTCAACTTGTATTACAACGTATATAATTGAAAACACTTTGCGTAATGCTCAAATTTCCTTTGCCCACCAGCTTTTATAAATGCCAGTTTAAAATTACTGTCTTTCCAATTTACTTGCATCATATTTACTAGAGTTCATAGTTTTGGAAAACAAAACATTAAAGTTAAGCAGCCTGTTCAGAACCTATGATGAGAAAGCCAACCAGATTTAATTGAGGCTAGAATTTATGATACAGTGCGCCTTCGTATCAAGACACTGCAGATTCTCGTCAACCTAAACCTACTTTATCAATGATAAAACCTAAGAAAAACAATAAAAATTGTGTATTGTTCACAAACAAAAATTAGAATCATTTGTTCCACTGCTTTTTTCCATCAAATTCTTACTTTTAATACTAAATAAAACATTTTAAGAAAATACTGAAGTAGAATATTATAATAATTCTGGCACATTTGTCGTAATTAGGCAAATAGAAATTCAAACTAGAAGTTTCATGGGACTTATTTTTATGGGTCAAAAAGAGAAAGCCAATGAACAAAACATTATTAGTAATGTTTTAATGCAGTGAGAAAGTGAGTCTGTATTACCAGGGTAAAGCATACTAATTCATTTTTAAATGATTTTTTTTCAAATTAAGTACCTATGCAGAATTCAGGTAACTTCTTACAACCTGCTTTTATTGTCATATCCCTGAAATCATTAGATGCAGCCAAAGGTCATCTAATTAGTCTTTTTCTTTCTTTTTTTTATTGCTCAAATGAGTAGCTCATCACTTTTTGAATGAATCTGATCGATAAAGTAATTGAAAATCTCCTGGCCAGACATAATTTTCAGTTTCAAGGATGCTATGGGTGAAAGATGACCACGGGTTTCCATGACACTAAGGTCAAGGGTTAAATGAACATTTAGGGATCCCAGTGATCTGTGAACCACTCCATGGTTTTCTCTCACGATGCATTATAAATACCCAATAACCATTCACATAAGATCAGGATGTGACACTTATCATCAGTACGAGATATAAATACATCTGATCTCCCAGTCTTTTTAGTTTGGTTTTCTCTCACGATGCATTATAAATACTCAATAACCATTCACATAAGATCAGGATGTGACACTTATCGTCAGTACGAGATATAAATACACCTGATCTCCCAGTCTTTTTAGTTTCTATTGGCTCTATTCATGGAGTGCTGATTACAATTTCATAATTCTCGGAGAGAAAAAGATAGAGCAAAAGAAAAGAAGAAATAAAGAACAATGCCAGTGAATTAATGCAGAAGTCTTTTAAAGAAATATATTGAAACTCAAGTATATTCAAACTTATTAGCTTAATCTACGATCGGTAAAGTTGTTGCTCAACTTAGCACTATTCAGCATCATTAGCAATTTCATCTTTTATGAATGCTTGAATTATATTTTCATAAAATGAGTCTAACTGTGATAACAGATACATTTGCTATAAATGGAATACAGGCATATCTCAGAGGTATTGTATGTTTGGTTCTAGACCACAACAATAAAGCAAATATTGCAATAAGGAAGGCCACACAAATTTTGTTTCCCAGTGCATATAAAAGTTATGTTTACATTATTCTGGAGTCTATTAAGTGTAGAATAATACTGTGTCTAAAAAAAAGATGTACATACCTTAATTAAAAATACTTTATTGCTAAAAAATGCTAATGATTATTTGAGCCTAGAGTGGTAATCTTTTTGGTGATGGAGGATCTTGCTTCAATGTTGATGGTTGCTAACTGACCAAGGTGGTGGTTGCCGAAGGTTGGGGTACCTGTGCCAATTTCTTAAAATAAGACAATAAAGTTTACCATATTGATTCACTACTCCTTTCATGAAAGATTTTTCAGTAGCATGCAATGCTGTGTTATAGCATTTTATCTGCAGTAAAATGTCTTTCCAAATTGGAGACAATCCTCTCAAACTCTGATGTTGCTTTATCGATGAAGTTTATGTGAAACTTTGAGTCCTTTGTTGTCACTTCAACAATCTTGAACAGAAGTAGATTCCCTCTCAAGTCATCGCTTTCTTTGGTCGCCCATAAGAAGCAGTTCTTCATTTGTTCAATGTGTATCATGTGACTGCAGCAATTGAGCCACATCTTCAGGCTCCACTTCTAATTCTAGTTCTTCTGCTATTTCCACCACATGTGCAGTCACTTTCTCCACTGAAGTCTTGAACCCCTCAAAGTTATCTAACTTTCTAAACTCCTGATAATGTTGATGCTTTGGCCTCCTCCCGTAAATCACAAATGTTCTTAATGGCGAGTATAATGGTAAATCCTTTCCAGAAGGTTTTTAATTAACCCTGCCCAGATCCTTCAGTTGAATTACTGTCTGTGGCAGCTATAGCCTTGGAAAATATATTTCTTAAGTAAGACTTGAAAGTTGAAATTATTCCTTGATCCATGGGCTGATGAAGAGATGTTGTGTTAACAGGTATAAAAACATTAATCTCTTTGTACATCTCTATCAGAGTTCTTGGGTGACAAGTACATCGTGGATGAGAAATAGTATTTTGAAAGGAATTTTTTTTTTCTGAAGAGTAGATCTCAACATTGTACTTAAAATATTTCGGTAAACCATGCTGTAAAGAGGTGTGCTGTCATTCAGGCTTTGTTTTCCATTTATAGAGCACAGGCAGAGTAGATTTGGAATAATTTTAAGGGTCACAGAATTTTTGAAATAGTAAACGAGCATCAGTTCCAACCTAAAGTCACCAGCTGCATTAGTTACTTACAAGAGAGTTAGCCTGTCATTTAAAGCCAGGCATTGACTTCTTTTCTTCAGCTATGAAAGTCCTAGATGACGTCTTCTTTCAATATATGGCTGCTTTGTCTACATTGAAAATCTGTTTAGTATAGCCACTTTAATGAATGAACTTCTGGATAACTTGATGAAGCTTCTATATTAGCCCTTGATGCTTTACCTTGGTGTTTTTCCTTAAATCTCATCAACCAACCCCTGCTAGCTTCAAATTTTTCTTCTACAGCTTCCTCCCCTCTCTCAGTCTTCAAGGAACTGAAGATAGTTAGGGCTTTGCTCTGGATTAGGCTTTGGCTTAAGGGAATGCTGTGACTCACTGATGTATCCAGACTCTCAAACTTTCTTCATATCAGCAATAGGCTGTTTGACTTTCCTATCAGTTTTTGTGTCCACTGGAGTAGCACTTCTACTTTCCTTCAAAAACTTTTCCTTTGTATGCGTAACTTTGCTAACTGTTTAGCACAAGAGGCCCAGCTTTTGACCTATCTCAGTTTTTGACATGTCTTCCTCACTAAACTTAAGCCTTTGTAGCTTTTAATGTAAAGTCCGAGACATGCGACTTTTCACTTGAACACCTGGAGGCCACTGTAGAGATACTGACTGGCCTAATTCCAATACTGTTGTGTCTCAAGGAATAGGGAGGCTCAGGGAGAGAGAGAGAATGACAGGGGACTGGCCAGTGGGCAAAGAAGTCAGAGCACACACATATATCAATAAAGTTTGCCATCTTATGTGGGTGCACTTTGTGATACCCCCCAAAATTATAGTAGTATCAAGGATCACAGATCACAGGCCACCATAACAGATGCAATAATAATGAAATTGTTTGAAATAGTGTGAGAATTACCAAAATGTGACACAGAGACCCAAAGTGAGCACGTGATGTTAGTAAAATGCCACCAATAGACTTGCTTGACCCAGGGTTGCCATGAACCTTCAATTTGTAAAAACCATGGTATCTGCAAAGTACAATAAAGGAAGGTATGCCTGTAATCACTTGTTTTTCTGAACATGACATACGTTTTCATTCTACCATGGAATTTCAAATGGCTCTACAATTCCCTGAAATATATCAAAATAAGTGTGGTCAAAATGAAAATAATGGCTCAGATATTATTAAATCATTAACCTATATGAAAAATCAAAACTATGAATAGAAGCTTAAGGCATCAATGTGGCAACTTCATATTTAGAGACAGATTCATTGACAACATGTGTGTACATATTTAGTTCTTATAGTTTCATTTCTTTACTGTCAAAATCAACAGCATTGTAACTTGCAATCAATGTTTCTGCAAAAGGATCTTGACTTTGTAATTGCTTACTCAAGTAAAAATCAATATAGGAATTAATATTCAAGCCAGTTGTAACAAAATGTTTAGAGCAATCTCAGTTGGCAGAAGATTTAAAATTGGTCATCACTTATTTTTGACCACAGAAGGAAAGCTAGAAAAACTACTGTTTTGTAAGATATCATGAGCTAGTATAAGGTCTCAAAGGTTTTCCATTTATTGTATCAGACGTAATTCTGAATATTCACTGTTTTATGAACCATATCAGTCACATCAACTGGCTCTTCTAGTTCATCACTTTTGCTTCCTACAAATATGGTTTGCCTTTTCCATAATAATTTCTTCATTTAGAAACATTTGACAGTCAATCTTCTATAAAATATTATAAGTAGCTAAATGATAGCTGGGATCTTAAGCATTATGTGTGGAGTGTTCTTAGGAATATAGAATAAAATGTAGGCTTTGGTCAGAATATCTTATTTTTCAAGTGTATGTATCTGAACATTTTTGTTGACAGGTGAAAACATAAGATTTTTAAAATCATTAATAATTATCCTTTATTCTTTTAAAGAAATATGGAGGTACAAAGAATCAAAGAGCTTGCCCTTCTAAGGAAGAATTTCTCATCACTGCTATCCTTGAACCTGACTTCTCCTTTCAGTTCCATGGCAGTAAATCTCTGCAGCATCAGCAGGTGCAGCCACTAACGACTCAATGTCCCTGCAGCCAATGTTTGTCTGTTCTATTTATTCCCATTCCTGACATGTCACTGAATCAGGCCATACCATGAACAGATATTAAAAAATACTGCCTTTCTATTAATTTTAAATGACCTTTTAATCTACATGTAAATTTAAATTGTATAAAAGCACATCAAATTTCACCAGCAGAGAAAGAAGAGGATCAAGAGAGGCCGCAGACCAAAGCACTTACATCTCAGAAGCCAGCATTGGGGAGAAAACAAAACTAAAAATCCTCACAAATAAAGGAGAGTAAGAAAGAATTTTCAATTTAGGACATCAAAGAATAGGGATTAAATTCACACTCAGAGGTCCATGAAATATCTCAAATTTGCTAGCTGTCAATTATGCCAAAGAAGCTGCTGGGAAAAAATCAGATTATGCAGAGTCCTTCATCCTTTTCAACTTTCACTATGAATGTAGGTGCCTCAGTTAAGATTCAAAGTGCATATGTGCAAATAAAAATAATAATTTTAGCATTCTTCAGCACTTTGAAAGGTAGGTAGTTAACTTGCTGAATGCATAATTAAAATCATAGGCATGTCCTAATGTGATTAGCTAACTAAAAACTCATCTCTGATAATATTAAAGGTGGTATCACCTCCTCCTAGAGTGAAATAAAATCATTAATGTCTAGTAGAACCAATCATGTCAGTCTAAGACTCAACAAAAATATACAGATTACATTTCAATATGCAGTGAGTGTGATAAGATTTATTTAAAATAATGCACTATTCTATTTTTAAGAATTAAGTAAATTATCTCTGAAATTGTTCTTTGGGGAAAATGAGCGGTATTCAATCAGGGAGAATTAGAAACTACTAAAAAATGTGACCTGGATTCAAACTTAAAAGATAAGCACACATAGTAATGATTTCACAAATCAGCAAACTCCACATGATTAACGTGTGTCCAGAAATAAAAATCCGTGTTTTCGTAAGACAAATCTAATAAAGATATCGCACCATCAGTAACCTCCAGCTGAGCTTTTGCTAAAATGCTTCCTGCCACAGTTAAAGCCTGGCAGATGTAGTAACCCGCATCGGAACGTTGAATGTTGGTGATTGTGAGGTCTCCGGTTGGTGACACTGAGCATCTACTGTTGGGCTGCTGGGGTTGGTTTGGGAAAAGTAGGTTCTGTGGAAGCAAGCACAGTCTCATCAATATTCATTTTCCACTTAAAAAATTATGTGAATAAAAGCTACGACAATTAGGGAATAAAGTGGGAAAAAGAAAATACATAGATTAAAAAATATATGGTACAGAAATGTTTAAATGCCACACAGTGGGATTCACTGATCAAGTTTTTCCAAATCATGGTGAAATAACATCCTCTAAGAAGTCAATATTTTCTCGTTGAAAGAAAAGTCATCTGTGTTTTTAAAGAATGGGATCTTTATCTCATCCTGATATTCTGCTAGTTAGTTAATATCTTTGAAACTTGTTTCTTCATCTGGAAAATGGGCAAAACAATTCTTATCTGACTCAACTGCTAAGGCCTCCTGAAGATCTGGCCGATAACAGGGACTGGGGATGGGTGGTACGAAGTGCACAGCTCTGAAGCATGCAAAGTATGACTGCTGTCGATCATTCTGAATCCTTGATGCACTCAACTGAATTTCTCCCAAAGTTGTTCAAAAGTGCATGACAGAGAGCTGACTGTACTTCTGCTATAAAGTTTTTGCACCTTTGAATGGGGCTATAAACAAATACTACAGTTTAAGCAAGATTAAGCAAATTACTGAAGATAAAAAGAAAATGTAGAATGTTTCTAAAAGTGTGTTACCTTAAACAATTTCATATTACTTTCTTTTTAAAACAAAATTATTCTATATCTCATATATACATATAGCCTCATTACAAATTGTAAAAGTTCATCTATGAGAGGAGTAACATTAATTTGGATGAACTATGTTGCTTTACTGTTGTTCAATTAAGAAAAACATTTGAGTATAATAAATTACATTGGGGCTTGTTTCCAAGTTGGATTATAAATAAGAAGATATCAATTTTTATGTTGTATTTACTTACAAAAAAGGACATTATAACCCTCTGGGATCTGTTTCTCCATATAGTAATTAATTTTCCAGGTTTGTAATTAAACAGTTTCAATACGTTGCAATCAGGAGGTAATAACATTCAATTAAAGGCACAGGACACATTTTCACCTTAAAATGTTTTTACCCTTGAAGTAGTACCAATGGAAGAGGATAAAATAGGGTATTAACACTTTTCAATTATGCTAAATGACTTTAATCCTGCAAACGATGTCCTATTTTAATTAGAAGCGCTTCTCTTTATTGCAACATGATGGATGTCCACTTTATTAGATTCAAGTGTGACACTATAAGCCCACTTTACATAAACATTACCATGTTATTAAACTCCTTCTAAAAGGAGTGATGTTTGCTAGCATGTCAAGAATGTAATTTCAATATGCTGTTGACCTCTTATAAAATGTGTGCTACTGTATAAGGCTAGACATTTTCATGCATAGAAACATGATTTGAGAATCAGCTGATTCTACTGTAGATTCCAAATGTATTACCAAAATAAACAAGCTAAAAGAGTCTAAATTCTGAAGTCACTTGAAAATGATACAATAACTCAAAGTGCACACTTCCCTACAATTAGCCATTAGAATACTAATTTACATAGCACTAATATATCAGATGGGCTTTATTCTCTACGGGATCTCTTCCTCTACAATGCACCATCAGTCCACCTTCTAAATGATGCGTTGACATGGAAAATGGCATTATATGAAGGTTAACCCATCATTTTTATTCTCTGCTTGCATGACATAGGCAAAAGAAAATGGATTACAAGCAAAAACCGGGAACTTCACAGCTCTTCCCACCTTGGAGATTGCCTGGGTATCCTATTAGAGCTAATTGGCATTATCAGCATATATTGAGAAATATGGACCATTAAGTTCAGGCTTTTAACTGTTTCTATTGATGGATGGTCATAGATCACTATAAAAACTGGATACTGAAAACAGTAAGACCGATTTATTTTTTCCCAATATCCCAATTCATGATTTGAGAATTTATAATTTGCTGAAGCACTTCTCTGTTGTTCTCATTCACAGTATTTTTTTTTTCTCTCTCCTTCTCGCTCTCCCACCCCATCCCTCTCTATCTCTACCTCTGTCTCTCTGATGGGAGAAAGATAGGTGAGGGAAAGAAAACAAGACATAAGATTTTGTGTAATCTTTAACATTGATATCTCTGGAATCATATGCCGCTTTGTCAAATACAGAAAAAGGAATACTTAAATGCTATTTAATTGTTATTTATTTTGAAACCAGTAAAAAAGATGTAGCATATTTAAATACCCTATGCTTATTAAGCAACAAGGCCAATACACATTTTATGCACTACCTTGTAATTCAACTTGGAGCTACTTTAGGGAATGTGATTTACACATGATATAGTCTTAGCTATATAATAACAAGACACATTATAATGAGATTTCACTCAATACATGGGTTTAAAGTGTAAGTATGCAATGATCAAATTGCTTTACATCATTATATTTATTATCAGTGACATAACATTTTGCTTAACCTTCATAATGTGTAAAGCAATTTTATATATAAAAGGACTTATTCATTTAAACTTTGTGTGAAGTAAAATGTATTAGCCTTGTATTTTACATTAAGAAAATGAGTTTCAGTACATTTAAATAGCACTACAAAAGTACAATTTATAAGGAGCAAACTGGATTTCGAATTTTCTCCTTTGTGTGTGTGTGTGGTGTGTGTCTATGTGTATGTGTGTGGTGTGTGTCTATGTGTATGTATGTGTCTCTGTGTGTGTATGTGTGTGCATGTGTGTATATGTGTATGTGTGTGATGTGTGTATATGTGTGTGTGTGTGTATGTGTATGTGTGTGGTATGTGTGTATATGTGTGTGTGTCTATGTGTGTGTGTATATATGTTTAATTGTCATGCTGCCTGACACTTACTTTAGAGTCTGAGACACTAACATCTGAAAAGAATTTTAAAGCAAACAGTCAAAGAACTCTATGTGTGGAAACCTATTTTATAATTACTAAATTATAAAGAAGATTTGAGAGTTAAGACGTGGAACAGTTCTGATGTTGGATACGGCAATGGCCATCACCTTTCCTTACATTCCCATCACTACACTTATATTCCACAAGTCACAAGAGGAGTGACTCCAACAAGGAGAATGAGTAAGGAATAAAATGCCATTCATCCATCCAGACTGAGCTGTTAGAACTGCCCACTATGAGCTGGCACAGGAATTTATAGAAACCCACAACAGTTAGAGATAACGGCTGAACAGAACTTCTAAAGGCTTCCTTGCACACATGTATGTTGCAGATAAATGTATGTAAGTTTAATCAACAGAGTCCTCTAATGCAACTTGTATTTCCCATCTCTGGCCAAGGTTTCAGATTTCCAGAGATGTTTCATAATGATTTCCATTATTCCCAAGGAAATTCTTCTGGAACGTGTAGTAATAACAGAATGTGATGAGGAAGACCACCAGGAGGTCTCTTCCTCAGAATACGCCTAGTAGTGCATGTTTCTAGAAAGTTTAGAACGAAAATATCTCCAGGTCCCATGGGAATGCATGGACACATTATGTTGCAAACACCACAATTTTTGATCTAGTTTTAGCTGGAAATTTTACTCATTGCCTACGAACCTAGAAGCTAAGCAGTTGTCCAAGTTTGGACCAAGTTCTAAATGAGAAAACTAGTGTATCCAGTTGCCTTTTCATAGAGACTCTGAGAGGCCATGTTGCCCAGAGAGGGCCCTGGAGAGGACAAACCAGGGCAGAACAAAGACAAGGTATGGGTTCCTTCTAGTGTACTACGTATTATTTCCTGTCTAACCACACTACGGATGAGTCCAGGAGGAACGGAGAAGGAAAAGATTTATCCTAATCTTAAATGGAAGCATGCTTTAATTAAGGATAAGAAAAGTCATTTATGCTGTGTATTTAAGAGAGAGGATTGAAATTAAATTCTGGGTCAATTAAAAAAAATATTTCTGACTGTTTTCCGTGTCACAGAGACTCTATCATACCACGTAACTCAATACAAGAAAACAAAATTAGCTTCACCTTAACAGATTTTAAATCGCTACAGAGGTTTTGGTTTGACTTTTAACGATAATTTTGTTATATTGCTTTATTGCTGTTCTGTGTAAGAGACAGAATTTTGAAAAGATTAATACTAGAAAATAAAGAATGCTATTACTAGAACATCTGACTCCCACTTATTTTCACATTCACCACTCTCTTTTTCAGAAATAAAATAAATTCAAACATTGAGAACAAGAGAAGCAAGGCAGGTTTCAGGAGCAGCAGAGACAGCAGAAGTTCAGAGATGTCAGAAGCGCAGCGAAGCCTCACGCTCACCTGGCTGCCTTCTTTCTGCCAGAAAACAGCTGGCTGTGGGTTTCCTTTCGTTTCACAGGGAAATGTCACCGTCCGGCCTTGAGCCACAATCTGATCTCTTGGCCGAACCACAAACTGTGGGGGAGCTATAATTGAAAAGAAAAGAAAGTGTGTAAATATCAACCACCGACAAAGAAAAATACATCAGGGAGAAAATACGGTACTATGTTGCTTGTTCAGTGCCAGGGAGCGACTACAGTCTATTATTTACTTTTACACATTTCTCAAAACACAAAAAAGAAAGACATTATATTCAATCAAATGTGAGGAAAGAAGCAAAAGTTTTAGCAGACGTATTTTTAAATGTTGTACATTGTAATCCTTTGGCCTATATATCCTTGCATAGAAAGTTAGATTTTTTTAATGATTTTAACACTTTTAAGGAAAAACATGGATCCTCAAGCTGGTTCTGTTTTTTAAATAAATAAAGATAAAAAAAGAATCACTCTCTTACTCAACCATCTCCTTCCTCTAAAGTCAATTTATTGACAAGCATTGGCTGTTTTTATAGTAACTGCAAGAATTATATAAGGCACAGGGATACCGGAAGGTATAAAATATGACCCCTATTCTTAAAGTGCTTATATCTAGAATTCAAGAGTTGAAAGATTAAAGACATTGAAGAATTGAAGAGATGGGAATTACATACAAGGGTAATAAGCAATATAAATAAATGTACTGAATGGTTGACTCAATCTAATTTATTTCATATAGATAGATAAAGATTAGTCCAGTAATTACTATGTTCCCCTACTGGGCACTCAAGATACAGAGATGAGAAGCTTTTATCCTGAAGCCATCAAGGAGCTTATAGTCTAATGGAAAGGAAAAACACAATGACAATGATGAAAACGAAAACAAAATTAAATCAACACTTATCTAAGACTGTGGGAAGTGCAATGATAGAGGTGATCTCAGAGCACAGCGGAGGAGAATTTAAGTTATTGTATATATAAGAAATATAATAAAACTTAGGAGAAAGAAATCCCTTGGTGTTGTAAAACCTACAGAAAGCTCTGTGTAGAAAATGGGCATTATGGTAGCTTTGAGGTAAACGGAAAAATGAACACATGCCAAATAAGGAGATTATGGAGCAAAGTACAAGAAGCAAGAACAAACGTAGAATACAGTGTGTAATTTGGCAGGATGGAGGGTCCAAGTTATGTAAACACTTTTGGCTACAAAGGAGGGTTTAAGAAGTCAAACTGAGGATTTTATTCTGATTTTTTCTAAGCTGAAAAGTGACAGATGCAAAAGATAATTTTTGGCGGCTTTAACCCTCTAATGAATGTAGCATGGATTGGAGATGAAGGCACTTAGTCCGTAAAACAAGGAGTCTAACTGGGAGGCTATTAAAATGGTACAGGTGAAGCGAATGAGACAAAGACATAAGTAACTCCAACAGAAAATAAAAGAAAGGGATGGGGGTAAAAATCCTAAGAAAGTTCAGATTTAAATGGTGGTCTAATGATCTTGAGAGAATAAAGGGAAAGACAGTATAACTGGAAGTTTTCACAAGGGCATCTCCCTACCAAAACCCATTTTTGTTGAACAGAAAACACCGTGCTTATTCCATGACTTTTGTAATAATCTATTTCCACTTAAACTAGCTGCTTAGGCTAGAAAATGGAGACAGAAAACACTTTAAAATCAACTCTAATTTTTAGAACCTAGTGGTACTTTAAAACCCTCTAACCATAAGTGATGTCTGGTAAAACCTGTCACTTGAAATCATTTCAGTGCTTCAGGAGAAAAGAAGTGCAGGTCCAAGAAGAGGGTGAATGTAGAGCAGCCCCAAACGTGCAGCCAATTCCTCAGCCTTACAAGAACGCTAGCGTGGAAAAAGCAGCAGCATTTTTCCAAACAATTCACTGGGATTTGTATTGACTTATTTTTTGGTGTTCTATTATACTGCCTCCTAGTTCAACACATCTAACACATACCCCAGGGAGAGATGGGATAAATCTACTAAGAGAAATTTTCTCCTATAACTATAGATAACAGAAGACTCATTCTAGCAGTATGGAAAACCCAGATTTATGAATCTGTTTGGACAGAGCATGGTATGTGTTGCCTTGTATTTTCAGGAGATTAGTTGCTTCTTACAATCTTCTTGTTATTTCTACACAATTCTCCTGAATCAGCAGATACATCGATTTTTTTCCATGTTTTCTAATAGAAATGATAGTTTAAATCAATGTTACAAAATTACCTTACAGAAAACTCTTAAAACACTGCAGTGACCATTTTTTTCAGTAGAAATGTGAAACCACCAGGTATTTGTACCAAAAAGACATTTAAGGTTTGTTTCTGTCATCTGTAATATTGTAGAAAAATTATATTTGTTATGAAAAAGTTGAGTATATAGTTATCTCTTTGTAATTCTATAAAGAAAAATAAGAGTCAACATGGACATTTGCTAAGTGAGAAGTACTGAATAATTTAGCATGTATCTAAAATTATTAAAAATTCAAAACTCAGTTGAGTCAAAATCAGTCATTTAAAAGACTTGAGTAAAAATCACCTATTTAGCTTTTTAGTTAATTTGTACTGCTTTGGGCCAGAAAGAATTTCAATTATCTCATAAAAGTTGTTAGTAAAACCTTAGAGTCTTGGATACTCTATACAGTCCTTCTTTACAAATTTTTTAAATTTATTAACTGAGAAGAAACATGATTGAAATCATCAAATGAAATCAATGAAATATAAACATATATTTATGTGTTTTATAGTTTCAAGTATATTATTCTTCATCTATCTAGTGAAATTACCAATCTCTATCAGTAAAATTACCAGGTGTCTTTTAGAAGTACAGACTTCCATGAATTTAATTTTCAAAATTTTGAAAAATTTTTTTGTGGATGAGTGATTTTGCAAAATTCTTTTGGCATCTAGATACTACAATTTTAACACAGCTGCTAAAATATAGTCCTCAAAATAAGGACTGACAAATGACCACATCTATGCATCCACTTTTCTGAAAAGACATAATTCATCCATTTAGTCACACAAAATGTATTGATTGACTAAAAATGATGATACATTCTGGTTGGTACAGGAGATGGGAAGCCAAATAAAATTGTTCTTGCCCTGTGACAGAGACTTACAAGTAAATACATAAACAAATACACAAAAACGGCAAAATGTAATTTTTTCAGTGAAAACAGAAAAAAATGCAGAGGGCACCAGGGGAGAAAGAGTGGAACAGAACCAATCAGGCCATGTTGTGAGAAAAAAAAAAGAGAGAAAAAGTGCTAGGGCATGGCCACATTAGAGCTGTACTTTGGAGGACAAGTAAGAGTTGACTAGGTGAAGAGTGGTAAGGTCACTTGGGACAAAGAGAAGCAGCATATAAGGCAGAGACCCATTGAACTGGATTTTTAGGAGCTTGTAAAGGATTCTGAGAATAAAAGAAATCTAGGTCACAGAGGTGATATAGATAGGACCAGATGATTCCTGCTAAACGGGTGTGACATTTCGTCATGAAAACCATAAAGATCTGTTCAAAGACATTTTTGTAAGAAAGATACAATCCGATTTATATTTTGGAAAGGGTGCTTTAGAAGCAATGTAGATGAGGATTAGAGAAAGAGCAAAGACAAAGAGCTGGGAAATCTTCACAAGTTGGGGCAGAAAATCCAGTTGAGAATTTTTATTTATAGTAGCACCCGAAGATACCATTTCATCAGGGCTTTTAAAGGACAAAGAAATTCTGCAAAATCATGACATAATATTTGCCACTGATAGTATAATCTAAAAAGGCCAGGAAATTATAATTTCTGGAACTTTTACCCAATACTGGATTATTTTAAAGACCACTAACAAAAAACTGTCAGCATCTGTTATTTATCCTACAAAATATATTTTCATGTGATGTTTATTTATATTGTACATTTACTCCAAGTTGTAATGTGTTGTATTTCAAATGCATCCAATAGACTATTTTCACCAGAACTTATGCCACATTGATCTTGCTGGAACTAAAATCATCTAATCATTTTTTAATTTAAAAAAATGGAAAATATGGAAACATTTATCAAAGCAAAAACTTTGAAGAATATTCAAGTCTGTGAAAATACACATCCTTTCCTATTATTACCTGAAGGTGGACCAAAGAAACAAATGGCATCAATTACTTTTACTTTTGTAGACTCTCTGCCTGCCCAAGATCTATATTACAATCTTCTGTGAAGGGATATCAGCCGAAGGAATTTATTTTTGAGGTTTTAAATGAAAAACCGCATCAACAATTCTTCTAATAACCCTGCACAGTTTCAGTGTCTCTGCCAGGTGGCAGTGAGAATGGTCTGAAAAGACAGTATTTGGCTGATGGCACCAATGGGAGGGAGTAGACAGAGGTGGCATTTTATCAACACAGCACAATAGCACTAAGTGTGCTATACATAAAATAGATTTTCTATAATGACTCCCATTAAGTATAAAAAAAGAAAAAAAAAACACTACTAGGTCCTCAAGACGACAATTCTAAACACACGTTTAAACCCAATGTGAATTAAAGAGATTGAGTTATAAACTCCAGAAGAATACGCCTGTTATAAAAATGGCAATTCTCCTATATGTCTCTAAGAGAGAAGACTATAAAATATGTATTTATATTGTGTCTAAAACCTGAAAGCATTGGAAAAATCTTTTGTAACTACGATGTAATATCCTACTTGCTTAATCTGTCAAGTGATTATACCTTATTGCTTCAGCTATAACTAGAAATGAGATGAAGCCAACAGAATGGCACAATTTAGTGTTTAATCAACACTTGCAAGTTACAAAACAATAGCTCTGTAAGAAAAGTATGTTGTGTGATTTCCAGAGAAGTAGACCCAAATATAAAAAGGTCAATTAAGATTAGAGGTCTGGGACAGTTCACTTGAAACTGTGTTTTGAGAATTTATATACAATGCACAGTAAATTAGATTTGATTTCTGCTAAATTATGCTTTGATACTGCATTCAGCCCAAGCTGGCTTCAATCAAAGTCACGCTACAGTTCTGTTATGTTAATGCCTGCCAGTGAGTGCGAGTGGGTGATATGGAAATCAGATAGCTGAACATGAGTAGCAAGCACAGGC